TGAAAAGTGTAACATAAATGCATACTTGTCTTCAAAGCAAAATGAAAAGTCTGAGATCTCTTCCTCAGCCATGTTTTTGCCCTTTGTAATTTTTCTGAAAAAATGGGAAAAAATATTTATTATTGCATTTTTATAAAACAGAAAAAAAATATGCATGTTAAAGAACTTCAAATAATAGCTGTGTTACAGTCTTCTGTTGTATTTTACTGGAGTTGTTATTATGGACTCATGGCTTGAAATTTTGAGTGTTTATGAATCTCAGGAAATAGAAGTACGTTTCTACCCTTTGTGCTTGTAGGAGAAAATTTAAGTTATGACTTGTTCTTAATCCTCTTCCCCTCCTTTCCTTTTGCCTCCCTTCCCAACTCCTTCCCCTTCCTATTTCCTTTCCCTTCGCTCTGTTTTCCCGTAGTATAGGATTTGCCTATGCTAATTTATTCTAAAACATAACGTCTGCTAACAGTTTTATGCTAATCAGAATTTTTTGTAGCTGTGACTCATAATTTTGAGCACTGGGCAATAGGAGAGTCAATGTTCATGAACAGATGTCTTTGTACCTTCTCTGGACAAGATATTTTTCAATTATTTAGTGTTCTTCTCTGTATCGCTTTCACAATTACTGGCTTGTGTGTAGCTCTGAACGGAGAGGTTTTCATGGAATACTGGCTTTTCATGTAATATTTCCCACAATATTAACTTCCTCCATAATGTATCTGATGAATGAGCTGATTAAATAATTTACTTGTTTGATAAAATTTATTTGTTAAATTTACATAGAGAGAATAAGGTCTAATATAGAGTCTTTGGAAAGAAGAACAACGGAATGACAATAAAAGTGGACAGTATTGAGATGAATAGGATGGAGCTTGATGTTTTAAGATTTCTAGATATATTCACACCAAAAAAAATTGCAACTACATTTATCTATCAGGATTTATTTTCAGTCTATTTCCTGATTTTCTTTTTTCTTTCTTTTCCATCTGCTTTTGTCTTTTTAGGTAACATTCTTTGGCATAAGTTTGGTTCAGTTGCTGTCTGAGTTTGGAAAACAACTAATACACTTTAGATATTATTTCAGTCTAATTAATATTGAGAGCATTCTAGAATATGTACATGGAATACTCTAAGTATGCTTCACTCCCTTATAATACCTGGGGAAAGACTCTACTGCAAGTTCCCATGTTTTTCCTGAGATGTTAATTGTACATTACCCTGTAATTCTAAGACTAATAAGACTAAGGCTTGTGTAGTTGATTGTGGTAGTGTAGGTGGTTTTTTTTGATACAAATGTATTTTGTGAATTCCTTTCCTGAGTCCTTATTTAAGTTGGAGGGTTAATTTCACCCATGATAAAACAGGAATCTTATCTTCCCGTCTGTATCACATTTTTTGGTGCTTTTCTTTTAAAATAAATCTCTTGGATTTCCTTCAGGTCCCCTTATGTTATGTAAAGATCAGCAGTTGCAGCCAACAGCCATATCAGCTAAACCAAGAAAATTGTGTTTTGACCTTTATTTAATACAAAGACAGTAGGTTAAAATAATACATAAAACTGCCGTATACTTAAATGCCTGGAGTCTTTCTAGTAATGAAGATTCTAACAAATTCCTAGTGTAGATTTTTATTTTGTTAGTCCTACTTCTAGAAAGTAATTTCTGCTTCTTTCTTTTTTTTTTTTAAATTTCAGTTTTACAGTTATTCCCTCCTTTTCTTTATTCTGTATATTTTTTCTCATTGTCCTTTTCATGACAGCCTCCAGTCTCCCAAATCCTTCTGTTAATTGTTGGTCTCCCTGAAATAAGCAAGTAAGGCAGAGAGACACAATAATTACTTTGCTGATCTATTTGACTGACGTTATAGATAGCTTATATATTGATTAAGATCATACAATTATCTCTAGTTTCATATTGCTGCCAGTCAAACTACTTGTTGGGAAATTAGTACCACACTGATGAGAAGTTGCCTTGTCCTTCACATTCGATATCTGCAGTCCTTCCTCTGTCCTGTACTCTGTCTCTCTTTTTCCCCATCTCTTCCATCATTGTGTTTTTTAAGAAGAAAAACTAAGTGTGAACCAACAATCCAGCATGCAGCCACATTGGGCATTTTTTAAAGTTAGGTTTTGAATAAGTCTGAAATATAGGGGTATTAACAAATCAACATGCATACCAATGGCACAGGAGATTCTTCTGAACATCTTCATTCCTCTGTAGGTAAAGGGTGGTGGCTATAGGTCACAACCTAAAAAAAGTTTTAAACAAGGTTATTTTCAACACAAATTTACAGTAAAAGACTAGGCATTTGTTTTGGAAAGCCATCGACTAGCCATGCTTGTTTTTTCATTGTTTTCAAAGCTTCATACAACTTAACAGACACTTTTCAATGACACAGTGAATTTATTTGGTGCATCTTTGAGCCCTTTGTTTCTGAAGACTTAATGCAATGTCGATCCAGTGAAGACAATCTATATTGAGAAAGCTTTGAAAACTTAATTACCCTGTTGCCAGAAAAATAGCAACCTTCTTCAGGTTAAGGATTATATGTGTGGTGGTAGTATAGGGTGTCTTAAGGTATTTTTAGTTGATTAATGGAAGGTATACTTGCAAGACCCTAAATAATCAATGGTAACTTTTGTTTTAAGGTTTACTTGTAATACATTTATAATTAATATGTCCTGCTGGGGATGCTACCATGCTGTGTCTTTATTTTCTTTCTGAAAGCTTTACCAAAAAAACCCCCCATATTATTTTGTCAAGAAGAATTTTGGCTGTCCTAGATGGATTTCAACCTAAACTTTATTAATAGATTAAATGCTGCAAAAAGGAAGAAAGACACAGAGGCAGTTATGAAGGCTAGTTCTGTTTTTCCCTTATGGTACAAAGCAATATAATTATATTCTATTATCAAAACGTCATTGTGCTCATATTCCCAGAGTGATTCAGTAACATTATGGGCACAACTCTTTCATAGTGTTACAGAAGGGCCTATTGATCACTTCAGCTTTCTAAAGAATGTTAAAATGTTCCCTTAGAAGTGCATAGGTCTTGTGCTTTTCCTCTGCAAAAATGACTTTTGTTCTGCAAGATTAGGGAACAAAATAAAGTCTCTCTGATTTAGTCATATGTTTTAATTCTAAGTTTGTGCTGTATAGAGTAAATAATAGACAACTTCAGGAATACCATGCATGACGACTTGTATAATGGCACATGATTATTCATACTATAATTTAAAACATTTTATCAAAACTGTTTCTCATAATAAATGCAAGGCAGGAAATAGAGTTGCTGAGTATTATTAGTTAAACAGATAATTCACAAAATTGAGCAGGGTAAGTAAATGATATGTGAATCTATTCAGTACTTGTTTTCAGGTATTTTAGGTAGTCAAGTGGCAGCACATGTGTTAACTAGAAATTAGCTTAGGTGGAATGGGTTGTGCAGGGTGTGAAAACCGGCTAGAAAACAAGGATTCTTACTGATGTAGAAAAATTTGGATGTTTCGTATTTGTTTGTTCTGTGAAACAGAAGCAAGACCTTACCAAAAACTGAAGGGATTAAAAGTTGCTCTTGCCTCAGAATAGAGTAATGCCAGAGTAGCTAATAGCACTAAAGTTTGTGCTGTACACAGAAATATTTATTGATCGAGACAAAAATGAGTCTAGCACTGGAAACTGTCCTTAATTCTGTCCTCTGTTTAAGAAACCTTCCAAAGGAATTGATACACTCTGACAAAATACGTTTTTCATTAAATTCCCAGCTAGCTCTAATGAGTGATGCAGTGAGTACTAGAACAACGCTACTGACAGGAAAGCAAACGCTTCTGTGTCATATGGATTCCCAGTTCTACATTGCTCTGTGGTAAAAGTGGCGGATGTGCAATGTAGGTCAGCATGGTGTCAATTCTAGCAAATTAAAATACAGATGCTTCCTCTCAAATCAATCAAAGCATCTGTGAAACTTCACAAATTAGAAATAATGTGGACATGTGAATCTACTTGACACTGCACCAAATAATCACTGTTTCTTATTGTGGTTCTCAATAGCTCTCATACATACAAAAAGATATCAAAATTTATAGGTACACATAAAAGATGCACAGTGACTATACTATACAAAATTATATTTCTTTATTTCTAAATTTTAATGCATTAGTCAAATCATCAGATCAGAAACTTGGCTTGAATTTTAGAAAGAGTAAATAATCTTTTACCATTGTCACATAGGGGAAAATCCCAAGTATTTCCTTTTGTCTTTTGCTGATGCTAAGTACAAAATGTGTATTGTTTTAGCCACGTACAGTAATGAGGCCCTGATTCAGTACAATTCCAAGTATGCCCTATTAACATAGATATGTTTCTTAGATCCTCACTAGAATGAGCCTGAGACTTATCTCTGTGTAATTCCAAGTTTGTTTCTGCCACGTGAAAGAGCCCCTACTAGGCACTTAACCTTGATATCTCTTTATGGATGTTTTGGTTTTTTGTTGTGTTTTTTTTTTCATTTGGCAAATTATTTTTCCTGTTTTTCTCCTGAATTGCACCTTAATTGCCAAGTCCAGTTTGTGTTCTAGCTTCATTTGTATTCAGTTCTGCTTAATTGTTTGAATTAATGGTATGTGCACAAATTACAAATTATTGGATCTGCAGTAGTTTCTCACAAATTATATCAATAGTATAGTTTTAAGAGGGAATAAAGGATATACATTCCTTAGCATAAGAAAAGTACTTGAAATAAGGTAGGCACCAATCTCTCATATGTAATAGAACCTTGTTAAACATAGATGTGTGTGAAAGAATCCTGTTAGTTTAGTTGTAAGATATTTTGCTCCCTTACTTTGCATTGTACCTTTCATATTTATTATTTAATTAGCACAATGTATTTACACAAGTGGAATACAGCACTTTGCAAGACAGTGGCTTTTACAGCTTTCTGGTCTTTTTAGCAATTTGAGTCTTCATTTCTTTGGTGTTTGAACTAACTAAAGCCATTGTTTCATTTCAGTTTGGAAGACGTTACATTGAAGATCTTTTTAATGATTTTCGAGATGGACGAAGACTTCTGGAGCTCCTGGAATGCCTTACAGGCCAAAAACTTGTACGTGTATATTAACACATTTATTGTATATTGAAGTCTTGATGGTGTGATAATTGTAGTAGGTGGTGTTCATTAATTCCACCATTGATGAGGGCCTGTGGAAACTATTTTTTACGGGTTTGATTATTTTCAACTTGCATTTGAAACTGAGGAAACATTGTGACTAGAGCTATATTAGACAGTAACCCTTTGTTAGGCATATACTTAAGATGAAAATGTTCTACTTTGTTGTATGCACTTATTAAGGAACTGTGGCAAAGAGAAACAAGACTGAGGCAGGGTTCATTTAGATATTAGCTGGAATTCAGAAATTATTTATCACTAGATATTTGTGCCAAATACAAGGAATAGAATTTAATGTGCAGAATTAGAATGTTTCGCTTATAAATTTCATACATACAGTCCATGTATTGGAGTTGTACATGTCTGAAAAGAGAGAACACCTTGCTCTTATTAACCTGGAAATTCTAAAGCGACATGTCACACATATTTTTGAATATCCTCTCTTGTGTTCCTGCTTCGACTTTGAGCTTGGGCTCTTTCTCTGAAACTTTCTTATGAAAGAGTAGTGAAGCAAGCTGGGAGTTTGAGAATCAAAATCCAGAGAGAATATATTTGTAAATAAATATTAAACAAACTGATGCTTATCTGTTTGGTTGTCACAGTAATGTTCCTAAATTGTGCCATGGAGAAGATGACTAGTCATAATAAAAACAATCTGGAATTAACTGATTTTATATACATTTCAATGATTTATTCACTGAAAAATGTTGAGGTAACAAATTACCTTCCAACTGTGGATACAGTTTGTTTCACAATTGCCTTTATTTCATATTGGTAAGCTACTTATGCACAATGTATGGTAATATTCTCACTGTTGTTGTCATAAACTCATGAAATAGAAAACTACAGGTGTAGTATAAGATTTGAGTTAAATACAGTGTGTTCTAGTTTCTGATTTGGGGCAGTCAAATTTGTTTTATTTTCTTTGTAGGCAAAAGAAAAGGGTTCCACAAGAGTTCATGCTCTGAACAATGTCAACAAAGCACTGCAGGTTTTGCAGAGAAATAACGTAAGTAATCAGCCCAACAGGGTCAGAACATCCTATAGATAGCATACTTAATGCTTTGTAAGTGTTGGATCAAACTCTGGCCTATAGTATACAGTTACTGGAGTCAAGGCAGTTTTCTTAATGTGACTTGGATACTTCATCATTCAGCACCAGGATGGAATGTATTTCAAAAAATTTAAAATCCTCTGCCAGCAAATATTTGAATAATATATCTATAATGAATGCTATCTGAAGACAGATCAATATGCACAATTTTATGGTAATGCATCGTGTTTAAAATTTTCAAAGGTTAATTACAAGAAGTCATCCATAACTGGTTAGAAGGTGCTACCTATCAAAATGTCTACTCACAAGCTCTGACAATTATGAAGTCTGAAAAACTGAGGCTTTTCCTACAAGCAGTCTTTTTTTTAAGTTTTCATTGGTGTCTGTTCCTTATGGTTCATAACATTAAGGAAATGAATCATATCAAAACCACTTTCCATTCTACTTTGTCAAGATTGTCTTTTCAAGCCAGTATCCTGTGCATCATTTTTGAGTAAATATTCTCATGATATTTTCCTTATGCAAATGTTCTAATGGATCCATAACTTTAGCAGACATTTTCAGTGGCCAACTAATTATATCATATCCCCTCCTCAAGAATAAATTCATATAAACTATAACATTCACTTAAACTTAACAGTAAGATGTGATGGAACAGTGATAATGTCTTCTGTGCCGCATATTATATTGAATTTCTTGATAGCTGCGGTAGGTAACTAAACATGATTGAGTTCAGCTGCTGAATAAAGTTATTGATTTTATAAATCTAAGGTAATGCCTATCCATCTGAAGACTTGTGCATAAATGAAAGTGACCTTATAAGACTAGCATAAAGACCTCCAGGTGATTTTTCTTTTTTTAAATGGAATTTAATGTAAATAAATAGAAGAGAAAGCTTCTAATTCTTCAAAATCTGCAATATTGGACGTTGTTGAAAAAAATCAGCAATACATTATTTCACAGTATACAAGAATGTTTTGATTGCATACCTGGAATGTGATTACAAATTTTCATAGTAAATGCTTTTAAAAGTATTTATTCACTATGTATCAGCTAAATCCATTGATGTGCTTTTCATTCAGTTTCCAGAACACAACAATAGTCCCTTTCAAATACAAAAAGAAAGCAGAGAGTATTCCAATTGAAGAATATAGAAGAAAAAACATTCTTTTAGAAAGTGAAGTGGTCATCCAGTGGCCATCATATTCATATAATGAAAACCTTATAAGCTATACACAATATAAAAATTAATATAGTGTATATATATACTGGATCAAATTAGTATAAAGCCAAAAGATCTGCCTCTGAAATAGTTTCCTCAACCTTCAAAATCATCTCAAGTGTGATTTCTATGGGACTTCAGGAATGCAAAATCAATGGTTCTAAAGCTATTTAAAGCCTGTGACTAATCTAGATTTTTCTGCTGGTATGTGCCATCCTTGCTCTGAGGTTTTGCAGTCATCTGCGTGGGAACATTGAAAAACGCTGCTCCTTCCAGTCAATCCATTTTACAGATTTTTTTTTTCCTATGGAAAGGTGATAGTGTTGGGGTGAGTGGTTGCCCCAGTATAGCCTCAGGCAACGCTGAGGCAAACTGGAAAGCGTTCTTCTATTTCAGTAAAACAGATGTAGGTTCTGTGTATTGAGGCTTCCATTTCCAAAAACATGGAGGATTTGGCCTGCAGAACATGTAGGCAATACCCTAATAAGCTTTGTAGTGGGTCACTTGCTATGTGGACCCCATTTGAAATTTAGGATATAAAGTTGTCATGGTTTAACCCCAGCCAGCAACTAAGCACCACACAGCTGCTCACTCATTCCCTCCACAGTGGGATGGGGGAGAGAACGGGAAGAGTAAAAGCGAGAAAATTCATGGCTTGAGATAAAGACAGTTTAATAGGTAAGGCAAAAGCCGCACACACAAGCAAAGCAAAACAAGGAATTCATTCACTACTTCCCATCGGCAGGCAGGTGTTCAGCCATACCCAGGAAAGCAGGGCTCCATCACGCGTAACGGTTACTTGGGAAGACAAACGCCATCACTCCGAACATCCCCCCCTTCCTTCTTCTTCCCCCAGCTTTATATGCTGAGCATAACATCATATGGTGTGGAATAGCCCTTTGGTCAGTTGGGGTCAGCTGTCCCAGCTGTGTCACATCCTAACTTCTTGTGCACCTGGCAGAGCATGGGAAGATGAAAAGTGCTTCACTGGTATAAACGCTACTCAGCAACAACTAAAACATCAGTGTGTTATGAACATTATTCTCATACTAAATCCAAAACACAACACTATACCAGCTACTAGGAAGAAAATTAACTCTATCCCAGCTGAAACCAGAACAAAAGTCGAAGTTCCACTTGGGAAATGTTCTAAGACACTGTTGGTTACAATGAATTGCCAGTCTCATATGCTTTTAGTACAAAATGATGAATTCTTAAAGAAAAGAGTTCTCGGAGAGTTTTAGAGTTCTTGACAAAATACCTGCTTTGTATGTGATTAATAAAAATGACCTATACATAGATGCATTGAAATAAATAAAAAGAGACTTATTTTGAGTATGCAAAAACTTTAGTCATTCTACAGATATAACTTCAAATAGCTTCAGAAGTGCAGTAGAGATATTCAGACTGTAATTTTTTAAGGAATGGGGTACTTTACCGTATAAGTATCAGTTCTGATCATGAAAAACTGCATCTATGAAACAGTGAGGATGCAGATTTTAGAGTTGTAGTTTCCATCCAGAAGTGCAGGTCTTAGCTTGTATTGTCTTGCACTCATATCCCTGAATTTGGCTTTCTTATTTGGGGGGGGGTGAAGGATCATTTCACATGTGGAGGAAAGAATATTCCAGTGTAGTAAATGCTGATGTATTAATGAAGCTGCGAATGCATAATATAATTATGGAAAACAACATTACTGGACAAACTAATGTGGAAAAGACTTGCTTAGATCACAATCATTGGTTTCTCTGTATTCCAGAACACATCCTGCCTTGCCTTATACATTGTAGAATTTAATTAAGGCAAAATAAGTTTTATTTTAATCTAAATATGTAGAACAATATCTTGGGTTTGTAGGTTCTTACAGTGTCTAGATGTGTGTGTAGCTTTCAGCAAAGTATATTATGTAAGGTAGTATGGAGCATAACACAGGGGTTTTTCTGTCTCACCCATCAGTTTTGTGATTTGTAATTGTAGAGGCTTAATATAAAAGATTTTTGAGTTATTATTAACTATTACTTTTAATTGTATGTTTTCACAACATGCTATAACTGGAATAATTGGAACTCTAGATTACTGCTTGCTTTTTGCCAGCACATTAATCGTGCCATTTATAAAACATGAGTTGGATGTTTACTAAACAACAGAAACCAAATGAGAGATTTACCCTAGCCCATCCCTCCCTCTCCCTCACCACAAAGAAAGTTTAACACCAAATGTATGATAATAACACCAACTTTTTATGCCTGCTGTTAATCTTATACAATTTTTTTTTTGTTGTTTCTTTAATAGGTTGATTTGGTAAATATTGGGAGCTCAGACATTGTGGATGGAAATCATAAGCTGACACTTGGTTTGATCTGGAATATAATCCTCCACTGGCAGGTGAGTGGCACTACTGCTTACTTTCTGTGAAGTATTTTTATTCCGCTGATCTTTTTTCCGCTATTATCCAGCTACAACCTACAAAGCAAACATAGACATTGCAAACAATGTCCTAAATCAGCAAGTTTTATGGCAGTCTGTTTACATATTATCTAGGATATCAAGAATCTTAAGAAGATAAAATAGGTTTTAGAGCATTAGCAGCAGCTCTTTTGACTCTAATTTCACAGTCAGATGTTACAAGAGAATATATAATACAGTTATTGCAAGAAAAATGTATAGGGAAAGCCAACATGGATATATAGCTTTCATAGTCACTTTTCTTTTTAGTATCTTAGAAAGAATGACTTTTATATTTTAATGAAATAATCACATTTGTTACTTTTCACTGCTGACCCATCCTGCCAAGAATTATTTTTAGAACCCTGAAAAGCTGCTACTCTGACAATTTATTGAACCAGATGTAGCTTATTTAGCTTCCTTTCTCTTTGGAGAGGAAGGGGGGATTATGAGATAGATCTCCTAAAAAACAGCATGGTAGATAAGGACACTTAAGTAAACAAATGTTGAGACAGCACTAAAATAAAAATTCAAAAAGAACTAGCATCTAGATGCTCTGAGTCTGTGTATTTGTATGAATCTGGGCTAAGAGTCTGTCCATTTGTGTTGGATCTGTTCCCCAAGCAATGATCTACAAGTTTCTTGTAGCATTACAAGCAAAGATGGTGGGAAACAAAGCCTAAAAGACTTTATATTAAAAACTGAACACTCCTATCAAAAATCATATGTGTATCATTCGTTGAAGTAGGGAAAATTTTTTTTCTAATTTTACAGGACATGTTGTAGTGACAGCAACAGAGAAAAGCTGCAAATAGTTAAATCACTTCTTCCTTTGTCTCCCATTCCAGTATTCCTAGTTTAATTACATAACATTGTTCTAAATTACTAATTAAAAGGAGATGGAATATGAAACCTAACTGTGCAACTTTTATGAATAATCCTTGAATCACTGTGGTTTAATTTATATGAATTATGGACTGAGATGACTATTCATGTTCAAATTCATATTTTGATTTGTTCATATTTTATCCTGAAGCAAAGTGTTAAAGATGTGCTTTAGTATTAGCTGCGTACCTATTAATTTTTCTTTCAGCTTTTCCCACCATTCCTCTAAACACATACTTGCACACACACAGAAGACGTATTCCCTGGTATAGTCTGGTGAGGACACCAGGCATATGCTCTTAGAGTACTGCTTACTTGCAGTACATAGGTGATTTGTTTCAAGCTTCATCTTGAGCCTAGTGATAACTGTGATGGCAGCTGTGATGGTGTGACACTTCCTCAACATAATCATAATGATTCAGCCCGTGTTTAGTCTATACTTTGAGTTCTGTGTTTCAGTTTGTTCTATTCATGGAGTATTGAAAGGAAGTGACCTCCATGTTCTGGACTTCTCTTTTTATTCAAAATTTTGTAAATAAATTTCTAATTTGGCTAGAATTAAATTTCAGTTTCTTTTCTAAAGAGTAGCTAAAGCCTGGTTGGCAAGAAGCTGCCATTATTATGTAATAAGCCTGTTGCTGTTGTATAATGATGAATAATTAAAAAATAATATAAAGCCAGATTTCTACTTGGGCTTTTCTCTTTTTAAACAGAACTCAGATGATTTCCCTCAAAGGACTGGAACAGTTCAAAGTGAATTTGCTTATTTACATCTCTGTGGAGAAAATCTTTATTCTATTCCAGATTTTCTTTCAAGTTTTGAAGTGATTTACATGATCTAGAATATGTTCGTGATTATTCTGCCCTGTTTATAGGTTGGTACTATCTTACATACTGACAGCACTTCTGGTGAAACAAGGCTGTAAGTTTCTTAAGAAAGGGTGATTCTTCCTGTTGGTACCATTTTGCCTATCACAGATTGTTCTTGGCACTAAGCAGCTGGAAGCACAAAAAGCTGTTGTTAAAGACTAAATTATGGACTCAGGGCCACCAAACTTATCTGCCAGTTGTCTACAGTTGGGTAAAATATCTCATTACCTATTATAACTTATCAAGACTACTACATTTATTTGTAGTCTGTGGGAGGCCCCCCCCCCCCCAAAAAAAAAAAAAAAATATACAGGCTACTTGATTTAGTGCATGCTACTGGTGCAGTTTGTGTTTGATGGTGCAATCCTGCTTTTGTAAATCCTTTCACTTTCTGATTCCAAGAGCTTGCAGTCCTGAGAAGAGTCACCTAGATGAAGTTTATCTGCATGCATGTAAAAAAAAAAAAAAAAAAAAAAGATAATGAGTTGTGTAGACAGTTATTTTGTTGCAGATGAATAGGCAAGAAGCTTTTTCCAGTTTCACATCCTGCAGCCAGGACCACATTAGGACAGAACTGTACTTATGATAATAAGACAGTCTCTTACAAAAATGTCAATCTCTTTGTACTCATTTTACAACATAAAAAAAAAAAGAGATATGGTAGAAGAAAGGTGCATAAAAAGAATAACGAGGCAGTACCAGTCCGAGTGGATATCAGCAGTCCCATTGAGAAAGGCAGTGGTAGAGGCATGGCAGCAGACAAGATTTGACTCATTCTTGCCACTCTCATTTCTGTTCAGTAGAAAACTTGTGGCTTTCCGTTTCCCTTGTAGTGATTGTGTCTTTTCTTATCTAGCCTGTTTTTCAGATTATTATTAAAAGTTTCACTGAAATTGAACCATTGTTCTGAGTTGAGCGCCTGCTGCCAAAGCTCTTTATGGTACTGAATCTATCAGAGTTTCTATTTCCTTGAAGCTGCTGCCCTCTTTCTCACAGTCCTGTGATCCCAGCCTCACTGCAGCATTAACATTTAAGCAAAAAGCAAAACAAAACCATTGATTTCTGAACTGTTCCATTTGACAAAGACTCTTAAGAGTGGAAAAACATTCTATATTGCAGTGTGCAAGTTGTTTTGTTTTGTTTTTAAGAGCAAACTTATTTTCATGTAGAGCATGGAAAAAAAAAGCTAGCAAAAATCTTTGGTAAGAGTCACAGACAAAATCTCGACTTTCTTCAGAAAAAAAGCAAAATAATAGGCATATACGTAAGGCAAATATTTCAGAGAGAGGTGCATTTCAACAGTCAGTCAGCCTCATTTGGAGACCTATTAAAAGCATCAGGCCTGTTGTGCACTTGTTGCAGAACCAGTATTTTAATTGGAATTACCATTTTATTTTATTTTGAATTATATACTAACAGTTCTGTCAATCCACCTTGAATCAATGAGCAAAGAATATCCTTTACTTTGGTAGGTGTCTTGAATATCTATGAAAATGTTTTTAAAATAGATTATAGCTATAAAAAAGTAATCTGCGCAGTCAGAATACCTGAAATATAGCAAATAAAAAATACTAAGTTGTTCTGTCAGGGAGCTGTAAGGTCCCTATTTGATTGAGAAAAATGAAAACACCTCGCTTTGAGAATAATTTTGTTTAGATTCTCTCCTTCCGTCTGTTTCTCCTAGGTGCTGGCATCCTGAAGCCAAGTGCCAGTCTTATAAAATGTTATTGCACCTGAGTGTTGGTTTTAGGTGAAACAGATGTAGTGCAAGCCTGAGATCATGCTGGGTTCATAGTCACCTTACACACACACAGCTACACACACACAGACTCCAGGACCTGGTCCTGCAGCGGGGAGATCAGAGGTCTGCTGCCTCCATGAGCCAGGCCTGGGCACGTTGCTCTTGGCCACTTCTCAGTGTGGTGACGAGAATAGCAGTGCTCCCATTCTGTTCACAGCTCTCCATTTGTCAGTTTGACTTTTCGGAAGTCATCTTGGTGGTGTCTGTGTTGCCCTTTTTCCCCCTTCTATTCAAAAGGGAATCTTTTCTTATTGCCGTAGTACAGGTCTATTCCCCAGGAAGAGCAAGTATTTCTGTTCTCTGGAAGTTGGAGTTTCCTACGCCTTAAAGCTTTTTTTCCTGCCAGGATATACTGCATTAGAAAGGAGAGGTAACAAAGAAATGAGTATCAGAGGTCAACTCATCATTTGACAGCAAGAGGCAGAGCCTACTAGACACTTTGAAATGGCTGTAGTTTTTGAGCCTGGATGCTGAGGGAGCTTATCCACCCAAAAGCTCTTCAGGCTGACGTTAACACTTCTCTATGTGCTATTATGTCTGAACAGTACGTCTTAACTGAGAAGCCTTCAAAAATCTTCCTTCTAACCTCAATGTCAGTCAGCACTTTTCTGCTCAGACGCTGATCTTGCTTCAGGGCCCAGCCGCCCTGTGGACAGCATGGTTCTGTGCCCGCAGCGGCATGGCATGGCGTGGCATGTCATGGTGCTGCGTGCTGCTGCCGAGATGCCAGGTGGGGTGGGAGGGATGGCAGCGCCCCTCGGAGTGCTCAGGAAGACAAGGTGGCTCCAGTTGTAGAAGTGCAGTTTTCCATCATTTCTCACTGAATAGGAGGTGACTTCAGCCTTCAGGATGAGATCATACCCTTTTACTTCATTATCTTAAACGCTTGCCATTCCCTAAGAGACAATAAAAAATCATAAATTTAAGAGTCTTCACTGCTGTGGAGAAATGCAGGAAAAGGAGAGTAAATCTTTATCCATTGCCAGCATATTAAACTCAACAAGACGATTTTGAAAATATTTCATATTTGTTTGCTCAAAAGTAGAAATAAATGCTAAGTTTTTGGCTTTGTCTCTTTAAATCAAAAGAAAAACTGTCACCTGGATTCTTCTGAGTAATTGCCTTCCTGACGGCCCATTGTTTTATTGTTTTTCCCTAATTTCCTCTGTTCATACTTATTGCTCCTTTCTCTTATGTTAATGTCAACTCAAACACTTGATCTTTTCTATATGTTATGAACTTTTATATTTCTAAATCTTGTGTTTCTGCATTCATTCAGTTATCCTTTTATACAATGTGTGCTGAATTTTTCAAATGTTACAGTTTGCTTATAATATTCAGATAAATCTGCATTTGTAAATACAAGCACATGATAAAAATCTAAAATGAACAATGAAATCCTGGCTTGGACAAGTCTCCACTACCATAAATTCAATATTTTCTAGTCTTTCATATTGTTTAAGTTTGGTGCAATAGATGCTAATTTCAAAACTTTTATTCTTTTTAGCACTTAGATTCATGAAAAGCAACATTTTATATTTTGATAGTAGTGAAGGGTTTTTGCCTGGAAATACAGAAGGCAAATCTCGTAGCTTCTTGCTGAATTATGTAAATCTACTTTGGCAGCTCTCAATGATGAAGGCATTAAAAATATTAATGAGGAACTCAAAATACCCACTCAGACATGCGAAGCAAAACTTTCCTAAAAATTTTCTGATTTTCTTAAACTCTTTACTTTCTGTCTCCTGGTGTAGAAATGGAGGCAACTATGAAATGCTGCTATTTTTATCTGACAGAATTTTATATTCATTTTCATTGGTGGAAATTACAATCTTAGACTAAAGTCAGGAATGTATCCCGTGAAATTTAGAGAGGATCAGTTTCTCCTCCCATCTCAGAAACTAATAACATATAAAGTTAACTTTATACCTAAGTCTCAAAAGGGAAATGGAAGACACTGATACTCTTTGGGTAGTATGCATCTGAGATGTGAAAACAAGACATTCTTTTAGTAATTCGTATCTTCACTTATTCAAACTATTTAATTAATTACTGTGAAACTAGCAAGCAACTTACCAGACTGAACAATAAAACGGTATATGTATTTTTCTACAGTATCACAGCAATTAATTTTTTTGTTGTTGATTATTCTTTGAGATTACATCTTCTGCATGTTATCTTATGGTTTTCACAATTTCAAAGTGGTCCATCCCTTATCATAAAATAGCTTCTGCACTGAATGTTGTTCTTCAACTGATACTGGCTGCAGAGCAATTCAAGTGGAGAATTATAATGAAAAGATATACTCCATAACCGAATAAGCAACAATAGGCAACTTCAGAGTTAAATTATATCTTAGGGAGTATTTTAAAAGAGCTGCTAATCTTTACAAGATATATGGAGAAAGCAATGATTTAAAGGGGATTACTTTACAGGAAAATAAATTATAGAATTCTTAATAGAAGTTTTGGGTGCTCTTTCACGAGGAAGGAAGTTGCTAAGAAATATATAATCGACTGCATTATGTCAAACTGCAGGCTAATATTTTTAGAAGCCCTCAGAATTAATGGGTTTTTATAAAATAATAACTGTCAGTGAGCTTTCTCTAATGAAAGAGGAATATTATCTATTCATTAAAAAAATTTAAAAATGAAGCATATACAATACTCTTTTAGTGCATACAATGAAATTCACTTTTCATCCAAGTGCATGTATGCAAATATAGTTTGCACATTTATGTAAAAAACATTATCTATTGTGCACTGAGCGCATTTATTTTGCCTTGGTACTACTTATTTCAACTCTGTCAATGAGAGAAGAATGCTTTTCATCATTTTATCAACTTTTATGTAATGTATCATATTGACTAAGGATATATTTCCAGAGCAAAGAAAACCACAAGGAGAAATACTTAGTTTGAACGAACTCTGTTCCCATAAGTGATGCAAACAAATGTGCCTTCTCTGTTCAAGCACAGAACGCTTCACGTGGCACAGGGATGAATGTGCTGAATGCATCAGCAATGATGATCAACAAGTCAATATCAGTTGTCTTTAAGCATTCAGACCTGACTGCTATCATTATACTGTGACACCAAGTATGTTCTGTAATTACTTAGGAGGTTTTTCTTTAAGGCTTAAATTTAGGCAACTGAAGGTTTTTTGTGTAAAAAAAAAAAAAAAGTCAGCTTTTAATAAGTTCAATCATTGATGAAATTCTGTCTCTTATTGCAGGTCAAAGATGTAATGAAAAACATCATGGCTGGACTGCATCAGACAAACAGTGAAAAGATTCTGCTGAGCTGGGTCCGCCAATCGACTCGTAATTACCCACAGGTCAATGTTATCAATTTCACCAGTAGCTGGTCTGATGGATTGGCTTTCAATGCACTCCTCCACAGTCACAGGTAGGAAAACTAGCTTTTCATTATTTCAGTGAGCTTGTAACAGATGGCTGTAACAGGGCTTGAGGATGGTGTATCTGTTACATGGTGGGTTTAGCTGCTTCTTGTGTGGGTGTTTCAGCGTTCTTTTAAATGGCCGCCTGTTTGCTTTGACCTGGGTGCTGTGTTTGGTGTCAGACTAAATCTTCTTGTGGAGGGAGAGGGTCTGAGCTTTTCACAGTGCAACTGAATAAGCTCAGTTCAGACCCTTTTCTGGAATTTCACTGTATATACCAAGTAGATAGTCTCAAGGAGTACAGGCTTGGAAACTTCCAAGGGCAAGGAATAGATCCAAAACTAAGCCTTTGAGGTTGTCCTAGAGGGAGAAGGAGATTTTCCTGTGGAGACTTAGAGGGGGGAAATGTGTTTGTTGAAAGCCTCTGACAGTTGCTGGATTGAAAGTATGGATTTGCCTCGAAAGGACACAGCTGGAGAAGGTAGCCTTTGTTTTCAAAACCTTTCATGTTGTTCCTCTAGCTGATTTGAGTTTTCACCTTCTCTCAGAAGTTGTCTTGTTCTAGTCTAGGTTTTATAAAACTCTACCTTTAAAGATTCAGAGTTTTCTGGTGGTTCTATGTACTTGGCTTAAGGAAGATGTGCAAGCCAATCTATCTTAAAGGTCTAGTTCTTGCCACTACTGGTTTTAAAGCAGTACTTATTTTTCCATTGTGGTAAGCCTCCTGATCTCTCTTCTTCTACTTCTATACTTCTCTCCTAAAGGGGGCTGTCCTGCAAGGTGGCTGACTGTTCCAAATTATCAGAGTTGAGTTTTTGAACAGCTAGGTGGGTATGTTCTGTTTAGTAAGAGACAACAGGGATTTACAAGATATTAGTACAAGCCAAGCCATTTTTTTGTAGTTGCATTAAAGGCTTAAAATAAAATAAGGCAAAATATTTCTAAAAACATAGTCTGAGACAATACATGCCTTCCAACTTAAGTAGTGAAGAGCTGTAGATATTTCCAAAATTTTCACTGGCTCATGTAATTGTTTTTGAATGAAACTGTCTGATTGTCTATTGTGTTGTAGTCTGAAGACTAACACTGACAGCCATTTGCAGCGTCTATGCCTTACACCACCATCTGAGGCACAGTAGGCATCTCTTGCCTGCATATGCCTGGGAGCCTTCAGTAGATCTGACTGAACTAAGGTCTTCCAATTACAAGTGTTGTTTGCTTGTAATGTTAAGAATGAGGCATTATCTTAAGGAAGAATTTATTATACTTTAAAAGGCTTTGTGTATGTATTTCACCAGCATTCAGTATTTATAACATTAATAGCTGGCTTTCCCACCATCCTGCTGTTACTCTGCCATTGATGCACTCACAACTTCTTGGAAGTGTTTATACAGGTATTAAGAAAACTGCATTTGGGGAGCTACGTAAGAAAAGAACTAAAATATGGTGACTATGTCACTAGCTTTTGGTAACTACTTTATTCATTGGTCATTCATTAAAATGTGGTTTGGTGATTTTTTTTCAAGCACTCTCTAAACTTACTTTTTTTGTTATTTCCACTGATGATAATTTCTCATTTTAATTTGCTCTGTATCTCACTTCATAAGTGGTTTCATTCTGATGGACCTGAATGTAAGAATGCAATTATCCTGTAGAAATCAATGAATCTCTTTCTTTCTAAAGATCTGATTCCATACTCGTAGATGATTAAAAAAAAAAAAAATTTTGTGTGGGATACTCTTCTGTCTGCATCACCTACCTTCATGGAAGCTCTGTTACAGTGTGGGACCTTATGCATAGTTTCATTAAATGAAAAGCATGAAAACCTTTTTGTCTTCCTAAAACATTGTCTATACACAGCCTTATTAAGTGAAAAAATGTTTTGACTCAACCATCGGGTTACTTAAGTCACATAGGAACTCTGTGATAAAAAAGACTGAGTGATTCCTGCTACTTTTGGTGGTACAGTGCTGCCTCTGTTGCATTGGATACAGCTGGGGATGAAAAAATAGATACACCTCAAAGGGAAAATACTTTATCTCAAAAATGCCAAAAAATAGTTATGCTGAAATTATATTTTATGACTAATTATTACTGTAGACTGAAAGGCTAAAACCAGTAGTACTCTATGGCATTGTGACGACCTTGATTTCATTTTCAGCAAATCAGTGCAGCAGAAGGCCAAAGTGGTGGCACATCTTTTCACCTAGACACAGTAAGAGACTGCCTCTTTCCTGATTAGCGTATCTGATACTCAGCTATTCAGACTGTGTGCTCTACAAGACCATGTAATATCATCTGGTGTCTGAAATCAGTAATTGGAAATTCCTTTTTGTCCCTCTCTGTAAGAAGAGCTCCAGAAGTCTGAATAGAGCCTCTTACTCAGGAGCAGCCCCTGGTTGGGGAAGGCAGTTGCCTGCCTAAGCCACATTGGGATTGTCTAGACAAATCTCTAAGTGTCTGTATGTCATACTTTATGCACTGCTGCGTTCAGTTTAGTGCAAAGTTCACTAGTTGTGAACATTTATGTCCTGCTCACTACAATTTATGCACTTTATTCACGTTTTCTAAAACAGGGCTGCAAAACTTAAGCTCGCTTTTACTCTTCTTGTGTCTGCTGCCATAAATCTTGCATAGCTTTCTGCACAGTGAGCTTACCTTCAATAGAAATGAAAAAGACAACCTCTCTTGCCCAGTAGTTAATGCACTCATCTGGGAAACGGCAAGTGTGCGTTCAGATTCCCTGAGGCAAGTCTCCAAGACTCCAAGACACACCAGTTGTCTTCTTCTGGACTTTAATCACTAATTTATTCTGCAAAAGTCTCACAGGAAGACCTAATGTTCTCTGAAGCCTCGAGTCAGTCATTTTTAAGATGAACCTCTGTGCTTAGTGTGTCCTCTATATTGAGTTTTGGTGACTTTGCACTTCATGCTCAGTATGCAGGAGCACTGAATTGCCCTTCAAGATTCAATCAATAAAATAGGTACACTAAGACACTCTGAGTGTTCAGGAGCACCTAGCTCTATCCTGTAAGAATAAACAGTCTTCTCTAAGAAGTGTTGACACCTCATTTAGTAATTCTAAAATGCAGTTACCTACTTGTTGGGTGTCAGTGTCTTGGCTTCCTGCCTAAAGAAGACAGTTTGAATATACGCTTAAGTAAAGTTGATCAACACTGGTTTACATGAAATCTCAGAGAAAGCTAGTGTCTGACACATCCTATGCTTTATTAATATTTTGTGCTTTACATGCATAGAATGACAAGCCCTCTGAAGACCAACACTTTTGAATTTAGCTCCTCTATTTTCCCTGTTTGATTTTCTGTTTTCCAGTTCTCCTGTTCTACTTCTTTCTCTTCCATTTCCTTGTTCTCCATAAAGTTTGGTCCAGATGTTCACTTCTTCTTCCTGTCTTCCTCTGAGTTTATTCCTCTGTATTTCATTAATTCACTTTTTCCATTGTCTTTTTTCCTCCTTCATTATTGTCCCTTTCTACAATACCTTTCAGTACCTCTCTTTCTCCCAGTAATTTTTATATTGAAATGGGCCTTTGAAGAAAAACAAGGACTTGTTACTCTAATTGTCAGAATAGCTACAATTGTTTTTATGATTACTTATACATTAAATATATTAGTGGAAAAATTAATTTTTAAAGATTTAAAACATGTTTGTCATTTCTGAAACTTAAAAGATTTTAATGATTTAATTGTCAAAAATATTCTTTACGGCAAATAGTAGCTTCTTTTGACAGTGAAGTCTTTGAGTTTAGCCTTTCCTTCAGGTGTATTTCAGAGGTAAACCATAAGCCTTCCACATTGACCCTCAGGCTGTAATTTGTGTGCACAGTCTTCATCACCTTTAGATGTTCTCAGGAATGGAAGCAGAATTAGTCAGAAAAAAGGCTAGCCATAGTTTGAAAGTCAGGTATGATAACGAACTTGTATGGTGGACCTGGTACCTGGTGTGTGTATTTTTTGCCAATTTTAGCACTATTCCTAGACTGTCTGCTACCAAAAAAAAAAACCCAATAAAACAAACAAAAATCTCTCCAACACTGAAAGAATTATGCTAGCCAAATTTTTTCATAGTATTTAGGCTCTCTGAAAGTGAGGGGAGATTTCCTGGTAGCATATGATTAAAGTATTTTCTTTTTGACATCTATAGGAATCAGTCTCTCACAATATGCAAACATTAAATTTTCTTTTCTAAACTCAGTCCTATTTCATTTGCTTTTAAAAACAGTGCTTCATAATACTTTTATGGTATAATGTTAAGAATGGTATTTTGGGATAAAGTAGTAAGCTATTAAGATCAGTTACTACATGCTGTGGTTAGTCCTGCTGTGGTTAGTCCTACTGTGTATCCAAATCACACTATTATTTTTACAATTAGATTTTTCTTTTAAAAATAATTCAAGCCTGTTTTTATAACTGCATCAAAATATACACTACACTGTAGTCTCTATATTGCCTCATCTGAAATATTGGCTGAGCGCTCAAATTTTTAAGTTGTAACTTATTAGAAATAGATCTAGTTAACATTCTGCTTTCAGAAAACACTACATACAGTAAGTAGGAAATTTTTTAGTCACACTATTTTACTGTGATTTCAGGGAAATGAAATTAACTTTTTTGTGAACTTAACTTTTTGCAGCTCACAGCAGATAATGGCAAATAATTTTGAAGGAGATACAGATAAACTTTAAAATAAATAACAGTATATACTGTCTTATATTTACAGTAGTTTTTGTGTCTTTTATTTATCCTTCAACAGCTTTCATGTTCAGCCTCAATTTACAGCCTCTGTTACATTTTTGTTGCACTAGCTTTGTGGGCAGCTCCTTTTGAGGATGGGGAGAGGGGAAGGAGAAGAATAGCAGGAGGAAGTCGATTGAGTAGATAAAGATGGGAGATAGACTTACATCTCTTCTTGGTTTTGATGTTGACACAATCTGGCGTTGCTACTAACAATATTTCCGTATGTCCATCTGGACTTTAAAAAGGAAAAA